TTTTCAGTTGTGGAATATATTTGTCCCATGAATTCTTTTATTTTTATTTTTTATCCTCACCCGAGGACATTTTTTAAATTTTTGTTCAGATGGAGTGGGAGGGGGGAGAGAGAGAGAGAGAGAGAAACATTGATGCGAAAGGGACACATCGAGTGGCTGCCACCCACATGACCCAACCAGGGCCGGGGACAAACTGCAACTGAGGTACATGCCCTTAGTGGGAACCGAACCCGGGTCTCTCTGGTCTGCAGGCCAATGCTCTACCCGCTGACCCAAACCGGCCAGGGCTATACCATGAATTCTTTATCAGAAGCCTGATAAGAGAGAAAAGAAGGAGAAAGAAAAGGAAGGAAGCAGGGAAGCAGGGAAGGAGGGAAGGACGGAAGGAGGGAGGGAGGGAGGGAGGGAGGGAAGGAGGAGGGAGGGAGGGACAGAAAATGAGAAAAGTGGGCGTACCTGGAGCTCTGAAAATTCTTTGAGGAGATAAATAGGATCAATAGATGAGCAGATCACATAACAGAAAGCTCAATCGGGCAGATTTTCTGGAGGTATTCATACAGAGTCGATTAGTTTTCTAGTTCCTAGTAAATTATCTCTCTTCTGGAAATTCCCTCCCACCCTCTCTCTGTCTTTCTTGATCATTTCTATCTTCTGATTGATATTCAACTAGTCAATAAATTAAATAGTAATCCCACTCACACCCCAAGGCTGCTGCAGGAAAAAAACCCACAACTTTTTTTTTAATCCTCACCTGAGGACATTTTTTGCATTTATCTTCAGATAGAGCGGGAAGGAGAGAGGGGGGAAGAGACAGAGAGAAACATCGATGTGAGAGAGACACATCAACTGGTTGCCACCCGCACGACCCCAACCAGGGCCGAGGACAAACTGCAACAGAGGTACGTGCCCTTAGTAGGAACTGAACCTGGGTCTCTCTGATCCACTGGCCAACGCTCTAACCACTGAGCAAATGGGCCAGGGCCACAACTTTGAAATTGGCTTAAAGCTCATTTTATAAGTCCTACGCAATATGTTAAGAAAAGTTTACAATAATATCGAACTTTCAGTAGAAGAGAATGTCCAAGGCAATGAGCATATGCAATAAAATAGTCCTCTGTTCCTCTAGACCGGGATTTGGGTTGAAAGGTATGGCTCAGTGTTGTTATGAAGGCTCCATAAAGAGACCTAGTAGGAAAGAGCAAAGAAAATACAAACACAGTAAGTTAAATATTCAATTTAGTTGAAAGCATTGAGCATATTTGTTTAAAAATATATATGCCTTACATCACCCCCCCCCTTTAATCAATTAATAATTGATCCTGGCTTCCAAAATGACAGTTGGAACGGTGCCACGGTGGGAGGGGCAACGTTCATATATTTCCATTCCTGACGGGGTGCGGATTGAAACCTACCTGGCCAGCTGCTGGCTGCAACTCTGAAGGCAAGAAGGTAAACGCTAGCATTGCCTAATCTCATTTTTAACAACATGCACGGCGTTGGAAAATGATTTTAAATAATAGAAACCCAGAGTAGATTTGATTGAAACCGAACGATGTGCTGTTTTTATTTAGTGAAATGTCTTTTTAAAGCGAGCACTTGGTTGTACGAGGTTTGGAATTTTTGCTGAATGAGGTAATGCCTGTTAGGAAATATTAGCCGTGCTCTGTCCGCTCCCTCAGCCTCGGCACCTGGCCACACGGTGGCTGTGTCTGATTGGTTTCTTAAGAATGTGGATTTTTGAGTAATTTAAAAAAAAATCTTTATATACTTGATAGATTGTGTATAATTTTTCCCCCTAATTTCTGAAATAGAAAATGGTATAATATTTAGAATATCTGTATTTTAGATCATCTGAGTTTACATTTCTCTTTGGCAACCTAAGATGGAAAGGCTTTGAACCTTTCACAAGGATTTCTTTGTTTTTAGATATTGCTTATAGTTTATTTAGTTGTAACCAGGTTGGAAAATTGATTCCAGCAGGATCTCACCTGCCAGTGTAAAGTTGAAATTTTATTCTTGGTGTATTAATTGTGAAAATGGTGGAAATGATAAGACATGAAATATTTTTGGGATATAAATTGTTCCCTACTCTATAGAAAAAAACAATTACACTTAGAATTGTTTGAGTTGTTAGAAAAGATATCTAGCCTAACATTTTATATTAGACTGTCACAATAAAGGAGACCATATTTTAATAATAAAGTTATTTCTAATAGAACGGAAAGTTAATCCAAAGTTGATCCCACTGTGTAACATCTCTGTTGATTATGATTGCCTGCAGAATGTATGGAATTAATGCAAACTGTGAATCATCTACTATTTCAAATATTAGAATTATTTACTATGAAAAAGAGGCCAACGATAGCAAAAAAGTCCATAAATACTTATTAAATGCCCTTACTTATTAAGTGCCACTGTTTATAATACTTACTAATGGGATACAAAGATGAATAGAAGACATGGAACCACCCCTCAAGAGAATTATGTTTTGGAAGGAAAGATAGAAATATCAAAAGCAATCACCTTATAGTCAGAATGATAAGGGAAATAGAAATATGAGCATTTGCCTTTCGTATATAGACAAAAGAACATAAATATGAATATAAATGCTGTGATTGCAAGATGAGAAAGCACCTGGGAAAATGAAGGCAATCGATTTGCCAATATTGTGAGAGCAAAATTCAAATGTATTGTTCAGATGGCAGACCTTATTACTGATATTCTGCCCTCTCTAATAAAAATTTGAGAATTAAAATGCTTCTTTTACTTTACTAGAGGTTAAATAATAAATCACTTGGGAAGTATTACAGGCGAAAATATAATATTTTTATTGATATAAAAGTGAGTTTTTACTTCCGTTTTCTTGCATGAAATTGTTCCTTAGTGTCTCCGTGCATAGCGATGACTGGTAGGAGGGGCTGCTGGGGACTGGCACCTTGAAGTGACACAGGGGTTTGGCATTGAGAGCATGGCATTAGGTTTCAGATGGCAGCGTGCTTAGGAGGGGAGAAGGGGGCTTGGAAATCAGACTGAACTGGCAGATTTGCACACCAGCTACCCCACTCCACGGCCGGATGCGGAATGCAGATCATTTCTGACTTATAGTGAAATGCCAGGCACATTGTGGGCTCAAATGAAATGATAACTGTTATTATGAAGTCATTGATAATTGGGTTTTATTGATTCCTGGAGCTGAATAGATTTTTGAGGGACCTTCCTAATTTAAAAGGTTATTTCAAGTCTGGTTGAAAATAATAATTACTGGAGTCCATTGTGTAGACATTTTCTCTAGTTGTAGCTTATTAAGAGACAGCCGACACCAGCAACCAGACTTTAGACTTAGCCAAACAGTGACTTCTTTGTTTGGAGGACATTTTCCAGTGTCAGAAAGACACATGTGACGCATTTTTTAAAAAGTTACCAAATGTTATCTTTTTAAATTAGGTTTGATATATTTTAAAAAAATCTATTAAAGTGGGAAGATGTTAAAACCAATGTATATCATTCAATTTAAAGCAATAACTATATTTTTTTTGAGAGAGAGGAAGGAGGAAAGAGAGAGACATTAGTTACTTGTTCCATTTATTTATGCATTCATTAGTTGCTTCTTGTACGCACCCTGACCAGGGATCGAACCTGAAACCTTGGCGTATCAGGATGATGCTCTAACCAATGGAGCTACCTGGCCAGAACCAAAGCAATAACTATTTCTTAATGCTTTTTATGTGCCATATGTCTGATGAGAAAAACACAAGTAAGGGGCTTACATCTCCATCTTGAAAATATACAATATCCATAAACAAAGAGACAAAAGAAAAGACATTTTATTTGAGAGGGGTACGTTCAACGTGAGATCTACATAAGATTGTCTTGATACTTCTGGAATAGATTATTGTGGTGAGGGCTAGGGCAAGGGCTATCCTAAATGAAGTCATTCTCTTACTTTGGTTGTATGTTACCTATGGTTTCACATTGTCAAGAGAAGGTGTTAAACCTAATGATTTCTAAACGCTCCACATCTTTCAAGATCTGTTATCTTTTGGACAATATCAAGGACTACCTAAAGTGCCTCACGTCTTATAGGTTTCATGTGGAATGAATTGAAAGGAGGTGAGAATGTTAACAAAGGACATGACCTGTGACAATGTGCTGGGCATATAGTCGGCCACAGAACATTCAGGGACAGTAGAGACACATATAAAGCCAGGAGAAGAAGAGGGTGGATTGAAGCTTTCTTCATCGCTAACTTGACCATGGAGACATGGTAGCCTTTGACTTTATTTTGCCTGAATAAAGGAAGTTCCACCACGAAGTGGGTAGAATTGTGCCTCCCCCCAAAAAAAGATGTGTTGAAGTCCTAATCCCCAGTAACAGTCAATATTATCTTATTTGCAAATAGGGTCTTCGAAGATGTGATGAAGTTAAGATGAGGTGAAACTATTGGATTAGGGTGGGCTTTAATCCCACGACTGGTGTCCTTATAGGAAAAGGGACACCTGGATACACACAGAGACACAGGGAAGGACTCACGTGAAGATGGAGGCAGAGATGATGCCTCGACAAACCAAGGCGTGCCAGGGATTGCCGGCAATCACCACAAGCTGGGGGAGGGGCATAGAACAAATTTTCCCTGAGAGCGTCCAGAGTGAACCAATCCTGCCAAAACCTTGATTTTGGACATCTGGCCTCTAGAGCGAAGGGAGAATACGTTTTCATTGTCTAAGCCACCTGGTTCATGGTAATTTATTATGGAAGCCCTAACAAACTAATTTGTACCACTGAATGAGAAGAAATGTCCATCTGTATTATTATCAATAGTGACATAGTATCCATAGACCAAGATGATGATGACTTACTTTTCCAGTTTTTAACAACAAACTGAATAACTGTGTACGATTATACCTTGAGTATTTAAACGAGAACTATTTACCTATGTCACTCTGATTATCGTTTTCTCTCTTATTTGTTTCTGTTTGTTGTAGACGATACTCAGTTTCACGATGGATTCTCTTATTGCCGCAAACTCCAAATTTTGCTTTGATCTTTTTCAAGAGATAAGCAAAAACGATGATTCTAAAAACATCTTCTTCTGTCCTCTGAGCATCTCAGCTGCCCTTGGCATGGTCCGTCTGGGGGCCCGAAGTGACAGCGCACAGCAGATCGACCAGGTGCAGCTGCGGTAACCCTGGGTCCACTCTCCGAGTCAGGCCCCTCCCGCCTGACTAGTAATAGTAATTTTTAATGTGTATGCATTTCCTCTCTCACTCATTTCATTAAGTGACTATTTAGTAGGCGCCAGTTTTATACCCAGTGACAATTTGCTGGGCATATAGTCTGCCATAGAACACTCAGGGACAGCACAGACACAGGTCTTAAGTAGACCCAGGAAGAAGGGGGTGGATTGAAGTCTTCTTCATCGCTAACTTGATCATGGGGACATGGCAGCCTTTGACTTTATTTTACCTGAATAAAGGAAGTTATTCAAGATCCCAGAGTCCTTCTTGACTCTCTCTCTCTCTCTCTCTCTCTCACTTTGGATCACATTTGTCAGAAAAGCCTGTTGGCATCTTTTCTGAAATTTATCCAGAGCCCAGGTACCTCCCACCCCCTCCCTGAGGTCCCTTTCGAACCTGGATACAACTTCCTCACGGGCTTCCCGCTTCCACTGACTGTTCTCCTTCCAACTTCCAGAAAGAGCTTTTAAACACTTAAGTCAGACCCTGATTCTCATCTGCTTAAAACCCGGCCTTCCATCTCACTAATGATAGAAGCCAGAGCCCTTACAATGGCCCCTGAAGGTCTGGGGACCTGGGGACACCATCTGTCTTTATCCCTGTCCTCACTCGCGGGAGCCACACTGGCCTCCTGGCTTCCTTGGAAAGCCTGCCCCTGCTGCCTCCGCCGGCCCTTCCCCCAGGAAACTGACCTGCAACCTACCTTCTCCTCCAGGGCTTCAGCAGAGTGTGCCTACCTTGACCTCTCGGTCTTATGCTGCATCCCGGCCCCAATCCCCAGGGTTCCCTCTTACCCGAGCTATGCGCCCCTGTCATGGCATCGCCCTCCTTCTAACATGTGGCAGACAGTAAGATTACATATGCTGTTTTTCTTTTTAATGAGCTTTTAGCTAATTCCTATATTTTACATATTTCATAATGTCTTTCTATAACATTAAGTTTTATTTATTTATTTATTTAATTTTTGGAACGTGCCCCTAGTGGGAACCAAACCTGGGAGTCTCTGGTCAGCAAGCCGATGCTCCAATCACTGAGCCAAACCTGCCAGGGCTTAATGAGCTTTTAGTATGCCTTCCCCACTAGGATAGAATCTCCTAGAGGGCAGACATCTTGTCCTAGAACAGTGCTTGGCTTATAGTAGCCACTCAACATAGTGTGTAGAAGGAATGGATGAAAGTGACAAGAACAGTTCCCCCCATTAACTCAGGCTCCCGAGGCTGGTGTCACACTCCCCTGTGTCTAGCACACAGCTCAGGGGTTATGTCTGAACCCAGCTGCGTCCCAAGGCAGAGGGGTGCGTTCTTGGATAACGGCAGCATGGGCTTAGGGTCATTCATTTATTCATTTGCTTTCATTTGGTACGTTATTCCTTCGGCAAAACTGAGCTGTAGAGTGTGGCTGGCATCCTCCAGGGCAGGTTTCAGGCCCTTGGGGGGCACTGGCCAGCAAGCCTACCCCGAGCAGTGCGGGACACCCCTCTGGCCTGCGGCCCGTTTCTGGTGCTCTGGATGAGGTGTCTTCTCCTGTCCTCACTCAGCTGATTGACTTGAAGCTCTGGCTCAGCACCGTCTACCCGCAGAATCTGAGCCTTGTACGTAACTTACTCGTCTTCAGTAGCCATCCTAAGAAAGTAAAAAGAAACCGGCGAGACTAATTTTAATAACACATTTTATTGAACTCAGTGTATCCAAAATATTATCATATCAACATGTAAAATTAAAATTTTAAAAGAGATATTTTACATTCTTTTTTTTCCATACCAAAGCTTCAAAATCAGGTGAGTATTTTCAGGGTTAATTCAGGCTGGTTCAATAGCCACACGTGGTTCAGGGATGCCTGATACTCTTAGTTCAGTCACCTTCACGCTTACATGTCCCGAAAGGTGGGGTGGAATTCAGTAGACTCCCCCCTCCATCCCAACACTCAACCCAAGTCCAAAGAAACATCCGCTTTCCTTACTCTGCTGTGGCTTGTTTTGCGGGACTATCGTCGTCGTCCTGGGCCCTTAGAGCGGTGTTTCTGAAGCTCCTCAGGCCTGTGCTGTTCGCGTTGTCTGAACGGCCCCTGCCGTCCCCCGCAGGCACTCCACTTCCACGAGCTTTCCCAGCGGCACAGCGAAGCCCCGGACCCCTGCCTGAGAGACAGAAAACGGGAGGAGGAGCTGGCTGGCAGCCCCCCGGGAGCGCAGAAAGGAGCCTCGGAGGCTCTGCCTCTGCAGGTGAGCCCCCCCCCGCTTCTCGTCCTCACCCTGCTCACGCTGCTGTCCTGTCAGTGCTGACCGGTGCTTAGCGGGGACATTAGGTCCTGGCTGTCATCGACCCTCCAACAACAGCAGTCACCCTAGGACCCACCGTTGCTTCCTGTTCATGCTGGTGTGCCCCTGGCTGTAAGCCACTTTCCTAAAGAGTAGGAGCTAGTATCTCCGTTCATGATAAAGAAACTTAGCTCAAAGATAAGTTTAAAAAAAAAAACTTAGCTCAAAGCCCTTTCACCCCTACTTTTGCAGGCCACCGGTGCCCAGGATGGAGCCTGGTGGGGATGAAGGGTGGTGAGGGGAGGGATCCGAGGTGGGATTCTTACTGTCTCCCTACTTTTGCCTGTTTTATTTCCCCATGAAATCTGTAATGACACACACAATGTTTACTGGTTGTCTCAGAGGAGCAGTAATGATATCCTCCAGGTCTTAAATCCCTCCACCTCAAAAAGTTTAAGAGGAAGGTGGAGACAAGATCATCTCTTTCGTGTATCTTCTGAACACAGAGAAAAACGAGGTGCACGGACCAGAAACATCAGCTGCTCTCTTCCCCCCTCTCGTCTCATCTTGCTCCCCCACCTGGCAACAGAGCCAAACGACAACTTGCTTTGAACTGATCAAGATCACATTTTGTTTCTTCTTTTGTTAGGCGGAGTCTTCCAAGGATGAGAACCCACTTCTCAGCTGCTACTTCGGGCAGCTTCTCTCCAAACTAGATAGGATCAAAGATGATTACACCCTGAGCATTGCTAACAGGCTTTATGGGGAGCAGGAATTTCCAATCCGTCCGGTGAGTTGGGCTGCCATGGAGCATGCTGTTCAAGAGCCCGCCGTCCAGCCCTCGGCCCCTCTGACAGGCTGTGCTTGTGGACGGGCAGGATGCCAGGGCCCCCTCCTCTCCCGCCCCCCTGCGGCTCTCCGCCCGTTCCCAGCTTGAGGAGTGGATGAGGCTTCTTGGGAGGGGACTAGACTGGGTGGAAAGAGGGTCACGTGACTAGTAGCCTTCGGAGCCCGCGTGGGTTTGGTAATGCTGTTCTCTCTTGTGACCTCTTTCCCAGTCTGGGTGCCTGGTGCACCTGGGAGCTCCTCTCCCTGTTGCCTCTCAGCACCCCTGCCCTCCAAGGCACTTCTCTAAAGTCACCTTTGGGGCCACCATCAAGCTGCCCCCTGCCAGAGAAAGCAGAGTAGTGTAGCAGAGGGGGACTGTATTGCAGCCAAAAGACACAGGTCTTGTCTCTGTGGCTACACTGCTTTATCCCTAGAGCAAGCTTGGTCTGAATCTGTGCGGCAGTTTCCTCTGTCACCGCCAGAAGGCGCCATATGCACGCACGAATGTGAGGGGTGTGACCAATGGCAAGTGTGCGTCACAGCTGGCTAGGGTGGGGCTAGCAAGGAGGGGCAGCCTACTTGGACCAAAATAAGTAGCTTTCTCACAATGAAAATGATATTTTATATGCTGTTTTTTTTTATTATTTAAAGTGGCTTTATTGAGCTATAAATTCACATATCATAAAATTCACCTAATAAAAATGTACCAAAGAGCCCAGGCCAGTTTGGCTCAGCGGTTACAGCGTCAACCTGCGGACCAGAGAGTCCCTGGTTTGGTTCCTGCTAAGGGCATGTACCTGGGTTGCAATTGGTCCCCTGCCCCGGTTGGGGTCGTGTGGGTGGCAACCAGTTGATGTGTCTCTCTCACATAGATGTTTCTCTCTGTCTCTTCCTCCCTTTCTCCCTCCTGCTTTATCTGTAGATAAATGCAAAAATGTCCTCAGGCAAGGATAAAAAAAAAAAGTACCAATCAGTGGTGTTGCTATATTACATTATTAAGTTTTTAAAAAACTAGCCCTGGCCAGTTTGGCTCAGCGGTTGGAGCGTCGGCCTGCGGTCCAGAGAGACCTGGGTTCAGTTCCCACTAAGGGCACGTTTCTCGGTTGCAGTTTGTCCCCGGCCCTGGTTGGGCTCTGTGGGAGGCAGCACTCGATGTATCCCTTTCACGTCGATGTTTCTCTCTCTCTCCTTCCCACTCTATCTGAACAAAAAATGGAGTGACAAGACATGTCTTGTCTCTGTGGCTACACTGCTACACGGCTCGAGTGAGGATGAAAAAAACAAACAAACTGTATAATACCCATACCATAAAATTTCCACTTTAATCATTTTGGAATATACAATTCAGTGGCATTAATTACATTCACAAAATTGTGTAATCATCACCCTATTTCTAAAACATTTTCATCACCTTAAACAGAAACTCTGCAACCATTCAGCAGTTTTAATTAAAAAAAAAAAAAATAGAAGCATTTTACAGAAAAATCACTCAAGTTACTTGACACTTATCTTGGGATGTCTCCACAAATGTAATGTCCAAATACAAGGCTACCTGGTAGGAAAGCCCATTGCCATGGTCACTACCGACGGTCCCACAAACAAGTACCCTGTATCCTAAACCGTCACCGCAGCAGCTGGGGTGTCTCTGGCTAATTGAGACTGGGGGTAGGTAGAGACTGACATGCATCCAGGTTGAGTGACTCTTCACTCCTAGCTATTAGCATAATGAGATGATTTCTTCCCACTATTTCCATGTATCCTAATTTAACAGGAGTACTTAGATGGTGTGATTCAATTTTACCACACAACGATCGAAAGTGTTGACTTCCGGAAAGACACTGAAAAGTCCAGACAAGAGATTAACTTCTGGGTTCAGTCTCAATCCCAAGGTAAGAAAGGCCAACAGGTTGCAGCTGGTGTTCCTTCCCGTCTGAAAGCCAGCGGGTCAGCCAGCTTCTCACATGGCTGTCTGTCAGGGGCCAGATCCTCACGTGTGTGCACGGGGTCCAAAGCTTCTCTGGTGTGCGTGCAACAGTGAAAATGCTTGGGAGACGTGCCTTTTGGCCAACGATGCCAAAGGGAGTCAACTACTTCCGTTTCTTTTCAAGAATCAGTAAAAAGATTGAAAGAGACTCTAGTTATTCAGAAGGACATGGAAATAATAAAATCCTTACTCTCATCAACTTTCTACTAGAAATAGAGATGTCCTGAGGGAAGAGGGATTTACAGATAGTGATGAGTAGTGGCAATTTGAGTTCGATGTGAATGGAATTATATTTTGATGTGAAACTCTCCTTCCAACTTCATCCAGCTCCCAGCAAAAGGAAGTCTCTAAGTGGACTGTCTGAACAGGGGCTCCTAAAGTAGCCTCTACCCCCACCCCAGTCATATTTAAATATGATCAGCCTCCCTGCCTTGCTCGCTGGGAGCCCAGTTCATCAAACACACTTGCCTGGCTGCCAAATCCTCAGCCATGACCCCTGTGAGAACTGATCTTCATCTACCCTCTACTCTTTTTTTCCCCCAGATACCAAATTATTTATTTATTTAAATTAATTTATTTTTGTTACAGATGTTTCCCCTTTTCTCCCCCAATGATTCCCTCTCCCCCTCCCTCCCCACCCTGTCCCCAGCTTTGTTGTCCCTGTCCACTGTTCATGCATACATGCATATAAGTTCTGTGGTTTATCCCCCCCCTATTCTGGGGATTGTCAGTCTGTACCCCACTTCCATGTTTCTGGGACTACCCCATTCCTCAGACTGTTATGTTCATTATATTCCACAAATAAGTGAGATCATATGATATTTGTCTTTCTCTGCTTGGCTTATTTCGCTTAGGATAATACTCTCCAGGTCCCTCCATGTCGTCTCAAAGGATGAGAGATCTTTCTTTCTTACAGCCGCATAGTACTCCATTGTGTATATGTACCACTGCTTTTTTATCCATTCGTCTACTGATGGGCATTTGGGCATATTAGCTATTGTAAATAGTGCTGCTACAACCATGAGGGTACATATATTTTTTCTGATTGGTGTTTCAGGCTTCTTAGGGTATATTCCTAGAAGTGGGATTACTGGGTCAAATGGCAGCTCAATTTTTAATTTTTTAAGGTAACACCATATTGTTTTCCATAGTGGCTGCACCAGTCTGCATTCCCACCAGCAGTGCACTAGAGTCCCCTTTTCTCCACACCCTCACCAACACTTGTTGTTTGATGATTTGTTGATGGCGGCCACTCTGACAGGTGTGAGGTGATACCTCATTGTTGTTTTAATTTGCATCTCTCTGATGATTAGTGATGTTGAGCACTTCTTCATATGTCTCTTAGCCATTTGTATGTCCTATTTAGTTCCTCTGCCCATTTCTTAATTGGGTTCTTTGTCTTCCTTTTGTTGAGTTGTATGAGCACTCTATATATTTTGGAAATTAATCCCTTACCTGATGTATCATTGGCAATGATGTTCTCCCATACAGTGGGTTACCTTTCCATTTTGGTGGTTGTTTCTTTTGCTGTGCAGAAGCTTTTGAGTTTGATGTAGTCCCATGTGTTCATTTTCTCCTTTGTTTCTGTTGCCTTAGGTGACGTATCAGTAAAAATTCTGCTGCGTATGATGTCTGAAATTTTATTGCCTACATTTTCTTCTAGGATTTTTATGGATTCATGAGTCACATTTAAGTCTTTATCCATTTTGAGTTTATTTTTGTGTATGGGGTAAGTTGATGGTATAGTTTCATTTTTTTTGCATGTAGCTGTCCAATTTTCCCAACACCATTTATTAAAGAGGCTGTCTTTACTCCACTGTATGCTCTTGCCACCTTTGTCAAATATTAATTGAGCATATTGTGTTGAGTCCTTTCCTGGGTTCTCTGTTCTGTTCCATTGATCTATCTGCCTATTCTTGTGCCAGTACCAGTCTGTTTTGATTACGGTGGCTTTGTAGTATAACCTGAAATCTAGTAATGTGATCCCTCCTACTTTGTTCTTCTTTTTCAAGATTGCTGTGACTATTTGGGGTCTTTTTGGTTCCATGTGAACTTTTGAAATATTTGTTCTAGTTCTGTGAAATATGTCGTTGGTATTTTGGTGGGGATTACATTGAATCGATAGATTGCTTTGGGTAGTATGGACATTTTAATGATGTTAATTCTTCCAATCCATGAACAAGGTATATGCTTCCACTTTTTTTATACCTTCCTCTATTTCTTTTTTCAATGACCTGTACTTTTCTACGAATAGGTCCTTTATTTCTTCGGTAAAGTTTATTTCTAGGTATCTTAATTTTTTTGCCGCAATGGTAAATGGGATTGTTTTCTTATTTCTCTTTCTGTGAGTTCATCATTGGTGTATAAAAACACCATTGGTTTCTTGATGTTAATTTTGTATCCTGCTACTTTGCTAAATTCACTTATTAAGTGTAGTGAATTTTTGATGGAGTCTTTGGGGTTTTCCACTTATAGTAGTGTCATGTCATCTGCGAATAATGCCAGTTTCACTTTCTTCTTTCCAACTTGGATCCCTTTTACTTTTTCTTTCTGTCTGATTGCTGTGGCTAAAACTTCCACTACTATGTTAAATAAGAGTGGCAAAAGTGGGCATCCTTGTCTTGTTCCTGTTCTTAAGGGAAATGCTTTTAGTTTTTGCACATTGAGTATGATGTTGGCTGTAGTTCTTTCATATATGGCCTGTATTATGTAGAGAAATGATCCCTCTCTTCCTAGATTGCTGAGCATTTTTATCAGAAATGGGTGCTGAATTTTTTCAAATGCTTTTTCAGCATCTATTGATATGATCATATGATTTTTATCTTTCATTTTGTTTAGGTGAAGTATCACATTTATTAACTTGCAAATATTGTACCAGCCTTGCATCCCTGGGATGAATCCCACTTGGTCATGGTGAATAATTTTTTTTATGTTTTGCTGGATTCAATTTGCTAGTATTTTGCTCAGGATTTTGGCATGTATGTTCATCAGGGATCCTGGCCTGTAGTTTTTCTTCTTTGTAGTGTCTTTTTCTGGTTTTAGAATTAGAATTATGCTGGCCTCATAAAACGAGTTTGGAAGTCTTCCTTCTTCTTGAATTTTTTGGAATAGTTTGAGGAGAATGGGTAGTAGTTCTTCTTTGAATGTTCGGTAAAATTCTCCCCTATGAAGCCATCTGGGCCTGGGCTTTTGTTTGCTGGGAGCGTCTTGATTATATCTTCAATTTTTTTGTTGTTATTGGTCTGTTCAAGTTTTCTATCTTGTCCCAGTCCAGTTTTGGGAGACTATGTGTTTCTAGAAATTTGTCCATTTCACTTAGATTGTCGAATTTGTTGCCGTATAATTGTTCATAATATTTGTTAGCAATCCTTTGTATTTCTGTGGTGTCAGTTATTATTTCTCTTCTTTCATTTCTGATTTTGTGTATTTGGGTTCTCTCTCTTTGTTTCTTGGTGAGTCTAGCTAAGGGTCCATCAACCTTGTTGTTCTTTTCAAAAAACCAGCTCTTTGTCTTATTGATCCTTTGAATTGTTTTTATTTTTTTGGTCTCTATGTCATTTATTTCTGCTCTGATCTTTACTATTTCCTTCCTTCTACTTGCTCTGGGGTTTTCTTTTTGTTTGCTTTCTAGTTCTTTAAGTTGTGAGGTTAGATAGTCTATTAGAGATTTCTCTTGCTTCTTGAGGTGGGCCTGTAGTGCTATGAACTTCCCTCTCAGAACTGCTTTCCATGCATCCCATAGATTTTGTGTTGTTGTGTGTTCCTTTTCATTGGTTTCCAGGAACTTTTTAATTTCTTCCTTGATCTCCATGGTAACCCATTCATTATTCAACAACATGCCATTTAGCCTCCATGTTTTCAAATGTCTTTGCATGTTCTTGTTGTAATTGATTTCTTGTTTCATGCCATTGTGATCTGAGAAGATGCTTGATATGATTTCAATCTTCTTGAACTTGTAGAGACTTAGTTTGTGCCCTAACTTGTGGTCTATCTTTGAGAATGTCCCATTTGCACTTGAGGAGAATGTGAATTCTGTAGTTTTGGGGTATAATTCTCTGTAGATATCTATTAAATCCATTTGATTTGATACTTCATTTAGAGTCTGTGTTTCTTTGTTAATTTTTTTGTCTAGATGATCTATCCAGCGATGTCAGTGGGGTGTTGAAGTTCCCTGCTGTTGATTTCTCCTTTGAAGTCCTCCAGAAGATTTTTAATATATGTTGGTGCTCCTATATTGGGTGCATATATGTTTACTAAGGTTATATCTTCCTGTTGGATAGATGCTTTCAATATTATGTAGTGGCCTTCTTTGTCTCTAGTTATGGCCTTCATTTTGAAATCTACTCTATCAGATATAAGCATTGCTACCCCAGCTTTTCTTTCCTTTCTATTTGCTTGAAAGATTTTTTTCCATCCCTTTACTTTCAACCTATGTGAGTCTTTTGTTGTGAGGTGGGTCTCTTGTAAACAACATATACTGAGTCTTGCTTTCTTATCCAGTCAGCTACTCTGTGTCTTTTTATGGGAGCATTCAATCCATTTACATTTAAGGTGATAATTGATATGTACTTATTTATTGCCATTTTTGTTTAGTGTGATTTTATTTTTCTTCCTGTTTCCTCTACTAATTACAGCAGTTCTTTTAGCATATCTTGCAGTGCTGGTTTGGTGCTAATATATTCCCTTAGCCTTTTTTTTGTCTGGAAAGGTCTTTATTTGACCTTATATTTTGAATGATAGCCTTGCTGGGTAGAGTAGTCTTGGATTCAGATCCTTGTTTTTCATGACCTTTATTACTTCATGCCACTCCCTTCTGGCCTGTAGTGTTTCTGCTGAGAAGTCAGCTGAGAAGCTTATGAGGTTTCCTTTGTAGGTAACCTGTTGCATAGCTCTTTTTTTTTTTTC